AAAAATTGCTCTTATTAAAGAACGTCACGATTTTCGAAAATTCCACCTCCCAAAGAACAGGGCATATTCATGATCCTTACATAATCAGACCATTCTATATAGCCTGAAATATTTCTTGTGCACAGTGGAATCTAATAAATCTATCCCAAAAGGATTTCTCTGAAGAATGGCTGTGCGGCTCTAGTTGAAGCTCTTATGATTAGACACACAATATGAATATTTGCCATAATGCTTTATTTTGTGTAAAACTCAATACACTTCAGTTACACGTTTCCTAAAACAGATGAAGTAGAACGAGAAACTAATCGAAAAAAAATATTCCCGAGAGAATAAGACTGGCCACTACTATATTGACTGTTCAGTATAGAGAACATCTTTAAATTACTGGCTTATTTTTAGAAAACCACGATTCACTGAAACTACAATGATGTAATACATTACGAGAAATAGTAATTGTTTGGGCGTTTCTATCTCGGAAAAATATTCGGTGAATAGAAATTTAAGGATTGTATTTAGAAAGTGAAATTAAAAACAATCAGTGTATATAAAATTTACACAAACCTTACTTAAAGTAATATCAGTGACAGTTTGGCTTGTTTTGTTTTGTAAAAATAAATTCAATGATAATAGCAAAAATTGCAATATGAGTACTGGTAAAAAGGTTCCTGAAGACTGAAGATTTATAATACCCAGAAATTCGTACAAGATCACATGACACAGTGGATAAAGGTGTTTTTTAAGTCCAGTGATAGAACCCAAAGAGTATGAGTTCAATACCCGGTTAAGACAGTATAAAATTAACAGGAGATAACTTACAACCATTAGACCTTGTATGTGGTACGTCTACCCCCAGTGAGCGAAATAAAGGGTTCAGTTTGACATTTCGGAACGTACAATAGCCGAAACGTTGTGATAAACATGGCGACAAAGATGAGGACAATAGTCTGAATATTATAAATAGTGTTAGTTTGTTTTGTTTTACGGCATATCAACACAGATGGGTTATTTAATGCCGACAATTTTTTTCCTAGTAATATGTTGTTTTGTCAAAAATCTATTTCCGGTAATATTTTTTTCCTCAAAAATGTATAGCTATAGTAATATTATTTTAAAAAATGTATTGCTGGTAATATTTTTTTTTAAAATATATTACTGGTAATAGTTTTTTTCCTTGAAAAATTTATTTCTGGTAATAATTTTTTAAAAAGTATTTCCTGTATTAAAACCTATTTTTACACTTTCATAATGTTTTTTTACCTCAGTTTCGGGGTTAACTATTTGCCCATAACTAGGACTGTAACAGATGCTACCACCCCGAGGTCACGGTTGACCTGCGAACACCAGATGGGTGGTTCCATGCTCCTCAAAAACTCCTGAGCAGTGGCCTTGATGTTGGTCGTAGTTTATCGTCATACCCAGGACGGAATATCAATGACAGCTTTATAATATATATATATATATATATATATATATATATATATATATATATATATATATAAATGCATGTTTCATTGAATAATATAGGCAAGTTTTGTCTACTTATTTTAAGCAAATTCCTTTCATATCGTCTGATAAGCTTAATAACATTATCGTTGAAAGACGAAAGAAAATCCCTATATTGATACATGTTTTTTTAATCCTATTTAAGCTTTCGGCTTACATAATCAAAAATGACAATGACATTACAATAAATTAAACAATACACGGACATAGCAACAATGATAGTCTGTTTTGTTTGCATGGAAGATTTCCAAGCAACGACAAACTCGTGCATACCAGACGCTGGAAGAGTTCTACACACAGAGACACACACACACACACACATATATATATATGTGTGTGTGTGTGTGTGTGTGTAGACCCCTCATATCCGGACATTATTTTGATATGTATATTTGAACTATTTGGGTGATATGTAACTAATTTGAAATTTCTGTTTTTCAGAAAATTTACTTTAGATAATTGCTTATGCTTATTTCAATTTATTGGCTTGTATTGGTGCAAAAGATGATGGGAATAAGAGGAAAGGATGACAACGAGACATATCTGCAACGTGATAGAGACGAGATGCGTTTTTGTGGTTTAAACCTGAACTGAAATTGAAAATGCTATTGAAAAGGTTGTCAGTTTTATGGAAAGAAAGCCAGTATTCAGCTATTAGGTTTGCAATACCGCACGCAGAGTTAAAAATTTCAAGAACAAAAGCAAAATGAAATGCGGAAAAATTTGAGAATGACATTAGAAGAGAAAGAATCCTCATGCAACAGCGATTAAAAAATCCTCGTTACATTATTTGTTTTGCATACGTGGCATATTTAATTTAATAAATTTTCATTATCATTACATAATTTATTTCTTTTTCCTTAAAATCAATTCCGTTATATTTCACTCACCATTAGCTTGTTTTGTTTACTATAAAACAATGAAAGTAAATGTTAAACGTGATTTCAGTTCTTTTATTTTAATCTAAATATAACCACTCATATCCGGACTAAGTAACCAATTACTTATATCCGGAAGGCCTTTTTAGTCCGGTTGTCAGAGATTCTACTGCGTATAGATATATATATAAAGTGTACATAATTAGTAACCAAATATGTTAATGTAGTAGCATGCTAGAATAGTCACTACACCCAAATTCCATACCAGACCGTCAACGGAAAGGAGGTACAGGGTTAACGTGGGGTTACTTCAAGTCGCCGAATATAGAATTATGTGATCTCATACCAGCATCTGGTAGTGTAAACGTGGGAACGAGATGAATATAAAATCAACCTTCCTAAGAATGATTTGACAAGACTCTCATAAATTACATGAGAATGTAAGATATCGAACTTAGAGCGATGGACTACGCACCAGACTAAGGGATGAAATATTGGAGTGAGTAAAAGGGACAAATCTCGTGTTATTGTTCAATCAGCACACCCACATCATTAAATCAGACTGAATTTTTTACAATATCGTATCATGGCAAAGGAGGTTCTGGAATCATGTAAAGAAGCAGGTTATGTTGCACACCTGGTGTTTGGCTGTAAAGCGTATATTGAGATAATTTCGTTCCACGTTTCTTTCTCGTTTTTTTATTTTTTTCTGCCGGGGGTATGACTTCATGTTAAATATAGAAAAGTAAATTACAGGAAAATTATCAAATTTAACATGTGTTTATCTTGAAGACATTGAATGGATATATATATATATATATATATATATATATATATATATATATATATATATATATATATATTTATATATATATATATATATATATATATATATATCCTACTACTATATTATTTCATGTTTTAAGTGCAGAAATAATAAAAAAGTGTATTTTCTCCCAAACCTCACTTAGGTATATAAAGATTAAAGACAAGAATGATACTCCTTGCAATATCTGAAAATCACACACACATATATATATATATATATATATATATATATATATATATATATATATATATATATATATATATAGATGTGTGTGTGTGTGTGTTTGTGTGTACACGGAGCCTTGTGCAAATTAATTGAAACAAAAGAATAATTACGTTATTTAATTTTTTTCGCATTTTCCCAATGTAACATGACCCAGTACACATGTTAGTACTTCGTATGTCCATTCCACGAAGCCGTTTCTTAAAGATTGACCACAAATTCTCGATTGGATCTAAACCACGAGAGTTTTCCGGGCCAGTCTATTTGATCACTGGTAAGGCTTGCCATTGTGTTAGTGCAGCGTTACAATTTCCGTACGCTTCCTTAGAGTAAAGTTCATCGCAGGCAATAGCCGTAGGACAATTAATCGACAGTCCAGACAATAGTATCTGAGCGTGATAAAAATCTGATGCAAACAAGGATGATGCAATAATTTTCAAGACGAAACAAGTTTCATCATACACCCCAAAAATAGATTCATATTACTGCACACCACTGCAAATCGCCTAATCTGAGCAAAAAATAGAAAGCGATTACACCCTGTCACTCCAGTGGGTCTAAAACTGACCATATGGTGAAAGAAAGGAAACTAAAGAGGTTTCAACTAATTTGCACAATGGTGCATATATATATATATATATATATATATATATATATATATATATGAAGAAATATAGTCTTAAGATGTGCTATATTTATGGGATAAAGCGCTCAATATCAGTTGATCTTGCAATCTGTATATATGTACCCTTACAAGCAAATCTCTTCCTTTATTACTTGCTGTAACTACCATGATGGAGTTGTGATAGAGTCAACAGATGACAACTGAACCAGGAGTCAACCGTCGTCATATTAGAGAGTTATTGGTTCGATGTTTATATATTTTATTTCATCCCCCCCCTTTAGGTTTTCGCTTTGTACCATTTCTACATATGCCATTATTGCTGTGCACCATTGTTGATATCTAGCTTAACGTAAACAATTTAAATCTTTAAGGTAAACTTAAAGTTTAAATATTTACAATTCACAGGTAGAGTCAAACAGATTAACTTGATATAAAAATATCTTTTATGAATAATTAAAATAATTTTATCGTGAACGAATTTTATTTTTGACAATATTTAATGTTGTCTTTTTAATGACATTGTATTTAATAAAATGGATCCTGAGTATTTATTTGTTTCGTATGATTATATTGTGTCTTATTTATAAAATAGATTTTTTTTTTAACATTAAGGGTCATCCTGTACTAGGCCCGTGGCCCACCCGAGGTAGAGAGTTAAGTTAAAGTTATGGATAGGATGGAAAGACAACGGTTAACACTAGACTTGAACAGGTTAAGATTGTAGTGATCGGGGAAACATTCTCTTGAGAGCCTGTTCCAAAGGGCATTGGTCCGCGGGAAGAATCAGTTTGAGTGTGACTTATCTCTCGCCAATGGAATACGGATGGAATGTGGGTGGGGTTTGCCACTATGTAAATGGCATGGCGGGTCCTAGCCGTGAAGGTCAAAGCTGGTGGAATGAAGGAATGTAGTTTGCCGAAGCACTTTCCATGATAGTAGCAACAGAGCAGTGAGAGACTCGCCACATCCCGCCCGTGAGAGAGAGGGAAAAGAGCGAGAGAGGGGGGAAGAGAGAGAGGGGTGAAAATAAAGAGAGAAAGAAAAAAGTGAGAGAGAAAGAAAAAAGTGAGAGAGAAAGAAAAAAGTGAGAGAGAAAGAAAAAAGAGAGAAAGATAAAAAGTGAGAAAGAAAAAAAGAGAGAAAGAAAAAAAGAGAAAGAAAAAAGAGAGAAAGAAAAAGAGAGAAAGAAAAAAGAGAGAAAGAAAAAAGAGAAAAAAGACAGAGAGAAGAAAAAGACAGAGAGAGAAAAGACAGAGAGAGAGATAAAAAAGACAGACAAGCAGAGAGAAAAAAAGACAGATAGGCAGGGAGAGAGAGGGAAAAAAGAGAGAGGGGGAAGAGAGAGGGGGAAAGAAAAAGGGAAAGAAAAAAGAGAGAAAGAAAAAAGAGAGAAAGACAAAGAGAAGAAAAAGACAGAGAGAGAAAAGAGAGAGAGAGATAAAAAGTACAGACAAGCAGAGAGAGAAAAAAGACAGAGAGGCAGGGAGTGAGAGAGAAAAAGACAAGCAGAGATGGAGAGAGAGAAAGAGAAACATAGAAAGTGTGAGAGAGAAACAGAGAAAGAGAGAGAGAATCAGAGAGAGAGAGAGAGAGAGAGAGATTGAGGTTGGAGGGTGGGCAATAATTCTTCTCCAACAAGGACTCGGTGATGCATTCGAACTATATCAAAACTGGAAAAGTGTTTCGGTATTTGAAAAATTAAATGTTATTTTAAATATAAATTAATTGCATTGTACTGATAATATTTCGGGAAAGGAAAAATAAAAACGAAAAAAAATGTATTTGTGAAAATAGAAAGAAATGGACTCAATACTGAATTACCAAAAAGGGTTTGTTTTTTGTTTTGTTTTGTTTTTTGTCAATCACTTAGAATTTTACAATCGCAAAAAAAAATGAAATTAAAAATAAAATTAAAAACAATTTTTTGAAGGAATTGGTGCTCCTATTGTCATTTTGTTTCCTATTCCTGTTTGTAAACCATTTTTGAAGGTGTTTCTTATTTCTGGAAGCTATACATCTTGATTTTTGTTTCCATTTATCACTCAAGATTGAACCAATTATTTCCCAGCTACTTGTATGCTTAATTAATTATCAACCAGAGTCAGTACGTTTAACGGTAAACACAAGGACACTCCACCCACTACTCAAGAGTAAAACGCAGAGTAGTTTCTTATAAAATATTTATAAATCAGTATTTAGATTGTGTTTTTAAGATCAGACATTTTGCTTAGTTCATTCGGCAAACAAAACGTTTTCGACGTCGATTCATCTCCCAGGGTTCAATCACAAAAATAAAATTCGTTTTCTTGTCCTTTTAACTAACATTGACTTCAATATTCGTTTGTAAAAAAAAGCACTTATTTTAGGATATTCCCCAATGTGAGCAGTTTGCAAAATCTATTTTCTCAAAGTAAATCCGCTGTTCGAAAACGACATTGAGGCGGCTGTTATTGTGGCATCGAATATTTAGTCTCGTCCATGTGGCCCGTTCCGTTTATTTTCTTTCCCAATGTTTTTGTCATTTTGCTAGTGTGATTTTAACACTTCTGTAAAAAAGAAATTGTTCTAAAAAGGAGGAAAAATGTATAAATATACCTGTATCAATATTTGCCTATCTATTATCGTCGTAACGTCATGTAGAAACCGGGTGGTGGTTGAAATAAAAGAAGAATGTAATAGACTAGCGATAACACACATGAAACTGGACCAAAACTTTGCTTTTACACTGTTTGTCACGTAACAGTTTTTTTTGCACGTCACAAAGTTTCTTTGTTGTTTGTTTTGTTTTTTGGGGGTTTGTTTTTTTTTTCATTCAGATGCGGTCGCGTACACTTTAAAATGTACAGTTTCGCATCCCACAAACAAAAGGTTTTAACTTTCTAAAAAATTACTTCTGTGGCCATCGGACGTTCAATGATACAGACGATATCAAACGAAAATGTAACAACTCGTAATTATTTAAGCCTCGTACAAAAAAAAAGACCGACTTAAAACAAAATATGTATTTTAATCTGTCTCTGAAAGTAACATCGTTCATAAAGCATAAATTGTTACTATTACTAACGTTTTTCTTATTCCTGTGCTTACTTTACAAGCATCTAAGAAAATTAACAGAAATATAACGTCTTTTCCAAATAGCAGTTCTATTAACCAATATCCTTGCCAAACTCTACATTTCCACATTTTATTCTGTAACGATTCTAAGTTCAAGCAAAGATATTTCCTGTTTTTCCAAAAAAATACATTTACTAAGAATCAAATCCATCAATTTATAGAAGACTTGAGAAAATATCTGTCTCACTTTTTAATTTCATTCTCACGGTCGTTGAAACTGAAATTTCAAAAATTCTTCTGTCCTTGACATAAAATTTGATCTTCTGACCTTTATGCCAACTATAAATTTTTAAGGTTATGCAATCCAAGTATTGCCATTTGCCGATTTTATTTAATCGTCTTAATCAACGGCAGCAAATGTTGGCCGATCTCCTCAAAGATTAAAGAAACTCGGAGTAACGGAGGTATGGTTCTACAGAAGGGTGCTAAGGATATTATGGACCGAGCGTGTGAGCAACGATGAGGTTCTGCAGAGGATGCAAACAAGAAAGAAGCTTATACTTATCCGGAAGCGGCAGCTGAAATTTCTGGGACACGTAATGAGAAAGAAGGGCCTGGAGAATCTGATACTCACAGGTCGAATAGAGGTAAAGAGAGACGAGGGAAAGCAATGCATGTTATACCTGGCGGGATTAAGAGGATGAGAGAACGTGGTCTGGGAAGGTGGCAGAGGGACGAAACTTATTGAAAGCTACAAGAGATAGGGCGGAAGTGGAGAGCCATGATTGTCTACGTCCTGAAGGGACACGGCACATACAAAGAAACCAAGAATTAATCATCGTAACCATTTATCGATTTGGTAAAATCTTAATTTACCTTTGTAAAGCTTTTCTTTTACATTATGTCAGTTCTTTCTGCTTTTTTTTTGTAATTAGTGAAAGTGTTCTCTTGTAAATTGTATGATATTCTCAAATTACAAATACGAATATATCTGTACGAGAGCAAAAAATTGACAATAAGAAAAATGGAAAAACAATCGTATTGCACGAGAAAAAATTAATGAAAAAGGAGGAAGAAAAATGTAATGAAACCAAAATGAAGTTTATCACAAAAAAGGCAAAAGATGCGAACGAAAAATTCTAAGAAGTAGGACAGTAGTTTCATTCTTTAAAACAGTTTAATCTAAGAATTTTTAATAAACTTTTTTATTTCGCTTTTCATTTATATTCCTTTTTGTCCTCTCTGCACATGTAGTTCTGATTTTGTAGTTATCCTTTGAAATGGAACCAAGCCTTTTCACGACTTTCTCCTACTTCGGAAGTATTCCTTAAAACTCATTGTCTTGTGAAGTTTGTCCTATCACAGCCTGTTTTCTTAACTTACGTCGATTTAAGTGTCCAGTATTGGAAAATACACTATACATGTCACAAAGTAACTTCGAAACGTAAGAAGCAAGGGATAATACCCAGGTTTTAATCCTATTCAGATCCTAAATAAAGATTATCCTACAAAAACTAGTCATTATTCTATGTATTTTTCTTAATGATTTCTAAAGAAAAAAAATAGCAGCTGCTTCGTCGCCATGCTCTATCGGTAATGCAAAATCGCCTAAGGTTAAAACATTTCCAATCAGCAACATTCGAGCACAATTAATGCTGAGTGGAAACAGAAAACTTTGCCACAAGATACATTTACAAATTCGATTGAAACAAGTAAGCATTAGTGTTGAATCACAGAATTTTTTTTCTAATCTTTACGTTATTTCGTTTGACTATTCTTTGCTAACGTCCAAGAATTCTATCCATAAAATTGTCATGATTGGTGAATCAAAACAAATGTATTTTGGTGATGTCGTTAATTCTTTATTTTGAATCTGAAAGTTGAATAAAATTATCCCTTTTATTAGTTTACGTTTGTATCTTCTGTTTTTTGCTTTTATTATATATATAATATATTTATTATTTATTAAAATAACTGATTTAATATTTTTTCAAAATACAGACAATGCTTTTTGACGCGGATATTAAAATTATAACACAATGGTTACTTTAAACAACTAAAGGTATTTACATTCAATCTGTCATACGTTGTCTTCGTTCTACACATTCATCGGCTTGCGTTCCTAGTACGATCATCGAAGTTAAGCAACGTCGAACCTGGTCATTACCTAGATGGGTGACTGCTCAGAAATATCAGGTTTTGATGTTCGGAAGGTGCAATGGGTAACATCTCGGAATTGGAAATCTGAAAACCGAATTCCAGTCGAATTCGTTATATTCACGGGCAAGTACCCTTGGGAAAGGTATGAATCCACCTCTTCTTCCCCAGCTATGGGTTAATTAGTAAGATTTGTGTCAGTTTTTCTGTCTTTAAATAACCTGCAAAGTGTTATATAGGAATAAAGTGTCGCTGCCGACACTTGAGTTTGAACATAGATCGCCAGTGTGCAAACACAGGCGATCCCATTATTGAAATAAATAGACCACGTGACCATAGACGAAACGCATATATGTAGGAAGTAGATGACGACTAACTTTCTGTATTTCTGTTCTATCTTCTATTACTATTCGGACCGCTATTCTCTACTCTATTCACTATTCTATTTATCTATTCAGATCACTATACGTAGGTACCTTCATGAGATCGCTAAAAAAGAGTATAGCATGACGAAAAAGTCGCCAAACTTGACGAAAACAAAACTTTATCATCTAAATGTTTATGTTACTATTAAGAGGAAAGATCAAAGTATTTTGGGGGTATTTTTTACATTTTTTAATCGTTCCTAATGCGTCCAAAATCTTGTTTTTTTAGTCAGCAAAATTGACAGATAATCGATCATGTCAGCCTTTTTTTACTTTATAAAAAAAATGAAAATATCACTTTGAAATTCTTTTAAAAATCAATTATAATTTTTTCAAAACTTATTTTAAGAAAATCAGAAATTATAATGTTTATTTAAAATATTTTGAACCAAGCTTAACTTAGTTTCTCTGCCGAAAAGACGTAGTTTGAAAATTTAAAAAAAACCTTTCGCGTCACTTGACAAGGTGACGAAAGACATTCATGACGTTTTGATAGCTTAAGTGAGGTAATTTAGATTTAAATGAACAAATTATTTACCTCGTTATTTTTAAGGAAAACTTTCAGCGTTCTAATTTTTTTTATTTTTTTCTACTTACTTTACGTTTACGATGCTTTATGGAAAATATATTATAAAGAAATTAAAAAAAGACTGTTGAGAGTGAGATTAAATTTCATAAGTAAGGTATCTAATTAATTTATGGTTACCTTTCTTATGTAATTTTATCAGAAGTGTACATAAAATACAAATTTAAATTTCATAAGATCATACTGATACTTGTAGGTACCCTTCTCAGTTGAAACTGAAAAATTACATTAACTTCTCCACACGTGTTTCGCAAAAATAAATCTATATCTCAAAAGGACAATTACAAAACTGAATGCGGCCTCTAAATAATTTTTATATTTTAACAACTTAAACGTAAAAATCTATTATAATTAAAGAACTAACAAATAATTGTATTAAAAATCCAGTATTTAAGTTAAATACTAGTCAGAAAGTCAATCCACGTGACGTTTTTTTTATTGCACGCATGATACTTCCGGTCTTCCGTAGATTTGATTTACAGTGTTATTATTGATAAAAATTATATTTTTTTTATATACTGTTGTTCGTTAGATTGTAAGAAGCTTTGGAAATTATAATCTGTAAATATGTATCTACTTAATAACAACATCGTTAAATTTTACAAACTTTTCCCTAATTTTAGAAGAATTAACAACATAATGTAAAAATAATAGAATATTTCAGAAATAACAAATAATTCTTTTAAAAATACATTTTTCATCGAAATATCTTTTTTGCTTTCAGACAATATTGTTCATGTTCATTAAAATAAATAAAAGCAATTAAAAGCTTTTGAAATTAAATAATATTTTTGTTTTATTGAGTTTTGTATGTTACAATTCAGAGATAATTTTCAGGTAGAGGTGGTCCAACTAAAAAAAAAAAAAAAACATGATTTGGTTTCCTCAAAGCCTTGTGCTTTTTACTAATTTAATCACTAATCTTCCCAAAATTGAAATTATAGTTTTCGTACAATTAGTGGGGGTAATACATATGAAAAAAATATATTTCCCATGACTTTAAAAAAGAAAACATATTTATAATAAGTTCCATCATTTGTGAATAGTTTCTGAAAGTTTCTTTAAAATCCGACAATTATTTTTATTTTTACAAGATTTTCAAATTAATGTTTGTCATACAGAAAAAAATGGGCTAAAATTTTATGTTATTTTGCTAGTTCAGGTGTCAGAAAGAGAAATAAGGTTTTTTTAATCAAAATTTGGAACATTCTAAAAAGAAGGAAAATTTTTTTAAATAATTTAAAAAATACTTTGATTTTTCCTCTCAATAATAACAAACATTTAGACGCTAAAATTTTGTTTTCGTCAAGTTTGGCGTCTTTTTCATCATGTTATGCTCTGTTTTTAGCGATCTCATTAAGGTACCTAACTATACGAGTTACTATTCGAGCGAGTAGTATCGAGCAAGTACTATTAGTGCGAGTGTTATTCGAAGGCGTCTGACACCAGTATTGTTCAACGGCGTTACTATAGTTGCATCTCCGATTACAAAGTCACTACTACAACGAACATCACGAAGGTGACAACGCGTATTCTTTGACATCCCAAAAGTGGCAACGTGTGTACGTTGACATCACAAAAGTAGCAACGTGTGTACGTTGACATCCCAAAAGTGGCAACGTGTGTACGTTGACATCACAAAACAAAGGTTGATAAGCCGTAAAGATGTAACAATACAGATTCATTCGTGTTTGAGACGCTTTTACTTCTACCTTTCATATTCTTGTAAGTTTTTCAAGCTACAAGAGCTTTCCGCCTTCTTTTACTTATCATTTTTATCTTTATTTTTTCTTTCAATTTCAACACACAATTCCATTGCACAATTTCAAGTCCTTTATGCTTGCTCATAGATATTTAGAAAGGAGTTCATTTATAATAAATAACTATATAGAATAATTTGCTGCGTTGTCATAAACAAGACGCTTCGTTTCTTATTACAATGAATAACGTTTATCTGTTTTTCATGAAATAGAAACACTAAGAAATGATAAGCAAATAAAACTTGTTCTATCCACTGACCAAAATTTGTAAGTCCCTTGTATAAATAAGATGATGCAATAAAAAGTCAATCCAATAGACAGACATGAATAAACACAGATAAATAAACCCGTTTAAAAACAAAACAATTGGAGTCCTTTAGAAATATAAATCAGTTGATCACGCGATATTCAGGCGTCATTAAATGTCAGATTCTTAAATTATTCGTGATTTTTTAACAAATCGCTAAAACTATGTCCTGATTTTGATCTTCAAAGCGTCTAGTTACATGACCGGTTTTAATCTATTTGAAATAAGAACATTTCGAGAGGTTTGGATTCTTCTACACAAACTTGGCCGTTCCTTTCATGGCGTCTTCTCCATTATGTATGATATTTAATGATGACATATTATGACAATTTGATTTATTTTATAGGATTTTTAACTTCTATGATTGTTATTCTTTGTTCTCTAAAAGTACGCCTGAATCGTAGACATTTTGATTGGACTGCAGAATCGAAAAATATAATAAGTGAACTCTTTCCTCCTTAGGCTTCCGTCCCATTTGTCTTTCTTTCATTTTTTCAGTCAAGCATTAGTATCACTCAAAGCATTTAATCTTTTTCATTGCTTATGAATTCCTTTTCTTTTTCACAGGTGCATTACAAAATAACGATTGACATTTGTAAAGTACACAATTTATCGATTTAGCTGAATCATTTATAAATGTGTTATGAATAATCAAGAGTGATCTCTCCTTGTTTCGTTTCTCTCCTCTTTAAGAGACTTATTTCTGTTTACTGGGACTAAGAGGACAATATACGCGACCCTTGTATCCTCAATTGAATAAAGCATGTATATTGGTGGATGTAGTAAGAAAGGTAAGTATGAATGTGTTGTTTTGGTGCTAGGAATATTGTTTTGTATGACTGGGTCAGTGGTTGTGGCTAGCTAAGTTTTAAAATTAATACAGATAACGATGTCCTTTTCCCCATCTCACCTTTTTAGGCCTTGTACCACATTTTCTGTGATTCCTTACAGAAATAAATATTCTCAGTTGAATAAAGCTTTCTTAAAGCCTACACCTGTGTACTTCTATCATTACAAAATGTGCGTGTGCCGTATGTTATGAAAGAATAGGTGTTTGAGTTCATGAATAGAGATTCAGTTCAATTTTTGGTAGATAGCATGATTCTTCAAATTGCTATTTGGGAAATGCTACCAGAAATACGCTGAAAATAGTTCAGCATAATTTGTTTAATTTGCTTTGTTTAACGGCATATTAACACCTTATGAGTAATGTAATGCCGAAACACGATTTACTAGCAAATGCTGGATTGTAATAGTAACTATTAATATTTCCAGCGTTCCCCTGCAATCACTTTTCAATGCTCAGATGTAATTATATCGAGTCAGTATCCATATGCAACGGCACTGTCTATAAATATTCAAGTGTAATTAACTACTCGTCTCAGAAAGGTGTATATAACAACCAAGATGAGGACGACGATCAAAGTTATTTAAATACTGTAAATAATAATTCGTCGCTTCAGTGACGCTGTCAATGTAACGACCAAGATAAGAATGATAGTCAGAATGTTTCGTTTGCAACTCGACTTGTTGGAAATGGCAAATTCCGTTCAGTGTACGCACACATCTAAAGAGACACGAAACCGGTAGAAAAGAAATGTTAAAAGCAACTCGAGCTTCAGGATATAAATACCAAAAAACATAAAAATGAACATTTCCAACAGTTGTATTACCCAAAGTGTGTAGGTAGCTTCACTTGACAAAATAAAATCTATTCAGTGGTTCTTTTGTCAGTCGGTAGCAAATCATTCGTAAATTTTACCGCCATTTTTGCACATCAATTTTAAAAAGATGTTGATTTCATTATTACATCGACTACCGAGAAACGAGATAAGTTTGTTTGCAAACGGCTCCCTGAAAAGCAATTACTTACTCTTATGAAAATCGTCTCAAAGGCAAATAACGATGGCTGTTTTATTGTGTCTTTCATTTCGTTTTAATCATCCTTTGGTCGACTTGTCTTGAAGACTAACAATGAAACAAAAATGTACTTGCTTGTGTGCGCGCGCACACACACACACACACTATATATATATATATATATATATATATATAAGTGAGATGTTTATCAAAAAGTGAAGATACATTATATTTGCTTAGATATATGACAATGTCAGTATTCCTAGAGGTATACAGAAACGAATTCTCAAAGCTCAATGAGAAACGCATACATGTCCAGAGGAATGCACAAAATCTTAACAAACATCCCGAGTAACTGCACACAATAGTATATTCTTGGCTGTTCTATAAAAACAATTGCAAATGTCTACGCAAGTTTGTTATCTCCTAAGTAGTTATCAAAATATTTCTAAAATATTTTATTGCATTATTTATTGTTATCACCAATGTGTCTCCACAAGTACAAAGCGACAACGCAGAATTAAAATCACTATTCACATTTTTCACTTGTAAAAATACAATAAAAGTGTGCGATTGTTTGAATATGTAAAGTATTGATTCGAGCAAGTCGTGTTTTTTAAGTGAATTTTACAAACAACATTTGTGCATACATTTATTCAACCATACATGTAATCTAGCAATATTTTTCAGCATTAGCCACTACTATATTTGTAAAAAGCAACATTTTGGATGTCCCTGTAAAATGAACCGAACACGGAAAATTCATGGCTTATTGTAGGGATTATACATGAAAAATAGGGTGTTGTAACAAAATACTTGGTCTGTCTAAAGATGTTGTTTTGCTCCATGTATCCATCTTGCAGTGTCCATGAAAATAATTATTTGCATCATCTCTAGAGCGACCTCTGAAGAGAGAGGGAGAAGGGAAGAGAGAGAGGGAGAAGGGAAGAGAGAGAGGGGGAAGGGAAGAGAGAGAGGGGCAAAGGAAGAGAGAGAGGAGGAAGGGAAGAGAGAAGGGGAGAGAGAGGGAGGAAATAAAGAGAGGAAGGAAAGAGAGAGAAATCATTTTCTCGTGATTTTTTACTTTTCTAACAGGTTTGTTTCATATACAATTATCAGCAAAACATTTTTGGCGGTTATAAATATCTACGCACTCATGTTAAAATCCATATGTCAATAAATGAGAGCCTACCACGTCTGACATAGGGTCTAATCAAATACGCACATGAGGATACAAATCTGCATCATGTTCGTAGCCTGACGGCTAATTTTTAGCTAAATGTTGATCTTAAATTATCATTGTATAGTCGATGGATGTTATTGAGAATCACAAGTGTATAGATACGAAAATAGATTATTTAGAATATTATATAAATATTACTTAAGTAAAATTAATGGAATTTTCATCATTAATTTTCGAACTTAATGACAAACTTCGATTATGTAAGAAAGAAATATCTACATTTCCTAAATGGAACGCATGCCTGGAAATCAGTTGAAAACTATCCTTACATTTAACAGTGGAAGTAGCACTTATATGTCCCTATATATTATAGTCTAAGAAAATTATTTTCTTGTCTGCGACAAAATGAAAGGAACATTTTATTATCGCTGTTCCCAAAATGAAAAAAATATGCAGTTGCTTTATAAAGCAGCAAAATAAATAAAACAATACTCTTCGTAAATAATTATTTGTGTTCTGCCAATACTTATTCCGAATATATCTCAATATTCAATATATTGTGAATTAAAGTTACAGATTATAATAAAAAATTTATAGTGATGCACTATGACGTGGCCATGTCATAGGGCATTTCTCGGCCGAACGGGAGACCTATCTCAAAGCATATATAGGTTTGATGTATAGAAATAGAAAAAATTGAATCTTAAAAATGCGTGGCTTAACAGCAGGTTTAGGATTAATATTTTTGTACCGCGTTTACAATATCTAAAAAACATTGGATAAAATTTATTGAATTTGATTATGACATTAACTTTACATAACGTTTTTAATGAATGATTTTTAATTTCGTAGTATCTAATATTATGTTTGCTCTTATTTTAGGTTTTTTAACGGTAAACTAAAATTCAAAATACTTTTCTTCAGGACAAAGAAAATTATAAATTACTCATAAAACATTAAAAATTATATTAATATATTTGTTATGAATAACAATATCAGAAAAAATATTAAATTGTCTTTGTAACTGTTATATTCTGTGCTAATAAGAATATATACTTGAAAAACAAGGTGGATGAAATAAGTAAAGGTTTATTGGGAAAAAAAAACAGTACAATAAGCATAAAGGTAACAATAAGAATAAAGGTCTTCGTATGTCAATCGAGTAGTGAGTGCTACTATTTGGAAGGTCGGTATTTCGCGCATAAGTCTGAGTCATATTAAACAGATTCCAGCTAGTAATATTTACCAACCTCCCCACGAGGTAGGAAGTGGCACAAGACCGAATTTAATGTGGGGCAATCCGAGCCCGTAGGCTCGGCCACAAATAACCCGTAAACACCGCATGGGTTCAGGTCTGTCTACCTCCCCGGACGAGAATGCCCTTCGGCATTGTCACGTCCGAGTTCCTCTCTGCCCGAAACAGAGAGTTCAACAACAGCTAAGAACTGAGTAACAGATCCAAGCTAGTCAATATTTACTAGCGCCCCCACCACGAGGAGAGTTGTGACACAAGGATGAGTTTAACGTGGGATATCGGACCGCCTAGCTGGAACAGATCGCATCTAGTCAGTATTTACTAGCCCCAACCCCACGAGAGTAGATGTGACACAAGGCCGGTTTTAATGAGGGTCTTCCAAGCCCGTAGGCTCGCCCAAAAAATGCCGGTAGAACCCGCATAAATGGGATCGGTTTGGCAACCTCCCCGAACGAGACTTGCCCTTCGGCTGAGCCTCCTCCGGGTTCCTCTCTGCTCACAGGCAGAGAGTTCGGCCGTCTAGGTGGAACAGATCGCAGCTAGTCGGTATTTACTAGCCTCCCCCCCCACGAGGGTTGCATGTGACACAAGGCCGGTTTAACGCGGGTTTTCCGAGCCCGTAGGCTCGGCCAAAAATATTCCCTTTCGAACCCGTATAAACGGGTTCAGGGGCAGTCTACCTCCTCGTCCGGCTTCCTTCTCTGCCCGAAGGCATAGAGTTCGATTCTCTAGCTGGAACAGGTCGCAGCTTGTATATTTAGCTACACCCCAACAGGGTTGCATGTGGCAAAAGGCCGGTTTAATGTGGGTTCTCCCCGTAGGCTCGTCCAAAAATATTCTCTTTTTGAACCCGCATAAATGTGTTCAGGCTCAGTCTACCTCCCCGAACGAGACTCTGCCTTTCGGCGACGCCTCGTCCGTGTTCCTCTCTGTTCAGAGGCAGAAAGTTCTATTGTTTATCTGGAACAGGTAGCAGCTAGTATATTTAGCCACCCCCCACGAGGGTTGCATGTGGCACAAGGCCGGTTTAACGTGGGTTGTCCGAGCACGTAGGCTCGGCCAAAAATATTCCCTTTTTGAAACCGCATAAACGGGTTCAGGGTCAGTCTACCTCCCCCAACGAGACTCTGCCCTTCGGCGGAGCCTTGTCCGGGTTCCTCTCTACCCAAACTGGAATAGGTCGCAGCTAGACTCTGTAGATCGTTGACTTACAGATACTTATTGAAAGTTACTACCTATAGTGTAGTCACTCATGGGGGTGACAGGTTATTCCATTTCATTAATAACAAATAGAATGTTAAAATAAATTTCGCAGTGTAAAAACAGAATCGAAGAAAAAGTCTTCGGAAGAAAACTGTGTTAAAAATGAAACATGACCAAATATTAAAATTAAATTTTTCTAAGATACGTAGTAACATTTGTAATAAGAAGAACTAGAAAGAAAGCGGATTAATAAATTATTTCTTAAAATAAATTTTTAAGCGTTAAATTTCAATATAAGAAGCGTCGCAAAAATTCAAGATACTTTTTCGCTTGTTACATTCAAATACTGGTTAGGCAAAAATAAAGCTGACATTACGTATTTATGATTTGATAGAATCTTAACAAAAGAAAATATTAAATTAACTCCCAAGTAGCAAGAAAGAAGCTAGATTGTAATGAATTCCTCGTTCAGTAACAGATTTACTCGTCTTTGATCTGATAGTTGGGCATGTCCACTTGGTACTGACGTACTGTGCATCTGTTCAGGAACGGGAGTAATTGGTAGAGCATCATTTCCGGTGTCCAGAGTATATTTCAAAATTTGAATAATTAGGCAATAAAGACGACTTAAGCGTCACCTGTCTTGAAAACATCATCAAGATTAAGAGATTGAAAGTTTATAATATTAAATTCAAATGCTTTCCAGTAAAAGGAGTAATTTATATTCTAAGTCACTTTAAGCAACGTAAGAAAAATCCAAGAATGTCAACATTTTGCATAGCATATCTGTGAGTGGTGAAGAAATGAGAACGATGCGAGAGTCTTTAGAAATGTATTGGAATTATTAGCAACACAATTGAAATTCAGTTATTTACGTTAGCAAGAATACAGAGAAAGGTTCTAGAGATTAAGATACTTGTTTACTGTGTATTTTTTCTCCTTTTCAAGAGAACTTCAAAAATATAAGCTCATCTTTTCCATCAGATAGAAGTAACTACACATGTTTGCTTATGTATATAACTATGGATGTCCTTGATCTTTTAAAAATTATCCTATTCTTTGAAAACTAGCAATTGATAAGAGTATCACGTCTGTATTAAAATAGGTGTGTATGATGTCTAAATATTTGTGTTAATCCATTTATTCATGTCATCTAAACATATATTCAAAGCATACGACTGCATTAGGTCTGTATATTCGATGTACTGCATTTACACATACATAGTCATTGTGGAAAATCTTTAGAAAGTGTCTGAATTACATTTCCTATTTGCTTTTCCCTACAGGGACGCTCATCATATTGCTTGTATTAAGATAAAGTTAGTTTATATGACTTCTTATGCTAAAAGAGACCTTGAGGCGTTTGCCAATATTTCTTGACGTCATTGCTTAAAATCATAGACACCAATTCCCTCGATTCTCATCTGCTTCGATATTTATCTTTTTCTTTTCTTAAACTTTAACAGTTTCTCGCTGGGCCATTATAGAGGGCGCTCTCAAGTCAAATTGCAAATTGTGTCTAGTGGACGTTAGTATTTCATTTAATATTTTGCGTCTATAAGTTTGATTTTAAGCTCTACATGGTAAACAAGTTTCATTTGTTCATATTTTATGTGACTGTAAGCAAAATATATTGGAAAAAAACAACTCCCCCCCCTACACAACGCTATCTTGTTAACATTTCTATATTCTCCTATGATTTGTAAAAACACTGGAATTAACTTTATTACATTGTTCCCCAAATTATAGTCAGATATTTTTGAAAAGAAATTTGAGAAAACAGTCTAAAGAAAATAAATTTCCAATTTTCTCTTTCTCGATCCATTTTACCAATTTTTACTAAGTTCGTGCGATCGTCTGAAAAAAGCTAAAAAATGGCCCGATCGATACTCTTTGGAAAATTGAAACAAATGAGAATCTTACAAAAAGACAATGATTAATAATAACAGGAATTAACCTCAAAATCTCAATTACACTTTTAAGATATATCCATTGTTATTAAATTATATATATATATATATATATATATATATATATATATATATATATATGTGTGTGTGTGTGTGTGTGTGTGTGTGTGTGTGTGTGTGTGAAATTAGGAGACACTGTGTGACAAATATAAGCTATTTTCTCATTGACGTTATCACTGATCCGGATAAATTGTATTTATTATAAATCTTCTTCAGCAAATGTTGCTGAATCAACGATCTTTTTTTTCTATTTCGAAATAAATCAGTGAATGAACTAATAACTTCGCTACATTGGTGAAGAAAGTACAATTGTCGCTTGTACAAATTCTCTTTAATACAAGTTAACAGAAAAGGTGCTTAAAAACTGACTTAAAGTAAGAATAAAGATTCAAAAGGGATGGTGGAAAATGATAGGATTTAAAAGTGTCGACATATGGTACATACACAAATGAAAA